TAAATTTATAAATGATTTTTATAAATGATATTGAGTTGAAGAGTAGTGAATTTGACGAAATGTATAAATAATAATATTTAGCCTACTTTGATCATTTTTATAAGATGAGGACTGAGAATTTTAATTTTGAGAGGAAAATTTTAGATGCAGTTGTCAAACTTTGACAAATATGATACGTATATGTCAAATCTCTTAAGACTTTTTTTAAAAGTTGGTACAAGTTCGTCATCATTAGATAGGGACCAATGGCCCTGCCTCTTTGATCCAATAATTCAATAAGGTCCATTTGACTGCGAAAGTAGAAAATTGGTGAAAGAAAATGAATTTTAGGGAATTTGTTGTCTAGAAATTGTTTTATTGAGATTTGTAATTAATTATTTTTGATTGAAATAATTTTCCAGCTGAAAAATGTTGAAAATTTGGTGTCTGTTTGACTTTATTTTTCATGAAAATTGTTCATTAAAGCGATAATTTTTTTTACCATTGGGTTTATAATTTGTTTCAATATCCAAATTAAAAAAAATTACTATACCGAATACCATTCGTTTGATTTTGTTTTGTATGAAAATTATCAATAAAAATGATAAATTTTTTTACCATTGTGTTTATAATTTTTTCCAATTGCCAAAAAAAATAAAGCAATTCTATTTTGACAAGAAAATGGATTCACACCACTTTGGCAAGAAAGTCAATTCCTTAAAAACATGAAAAATTGATTGATGTGACACAAGTAAGAAAATGCAATTCCATGGCAAATTTTGTCTATCAAATAAGTAAAAAAGTGAGAAATGAAATTCATTTTCCATCTTTCTTGGAAAATTGAGTTTATCAAACACAACCTAAGAGTTAAAACTCAATTTCATATGAAAATAAAAAAAATACACTTGGTACTCGATTTTATTGGTACCAACTATTATAATTTTATCATTTCTGATTAAGCACCATTAATTTTTTTTTAAATTTTTTTCTCTTTCTTAATTTTAACTATATATTCTCTAAATAAAATAATATTACACACAAATTTAAAATTTTTCATTATTTTTCAACAATACATTCTCGTATTAATCACCATTTCAAAATTTATAAATTCTCCAAAATGGAGGCCAAATAATGACTAAGGCACCGTTTGGTAACCAT